ACCCAGCATTAAGGCACATTTGTCAATTGTAACTAACCATTAAGGCACATTTGTCAATTGTAACCAAGCATTAGGGTACATTTGTCAATTGTAACTCAGCATTTAGACACATTTTGCAATTGTAACTCAACATTTAGACACATTTTCAAATTTAACCCAGCATTTATACACATTCGTCAAATTTGAACAGCATTTAGACACATTTGTCAATTATAACCCACCATTCAACACATTTGTCAATTGTAACTCAGCATTTTGACACATTTGTCAATTGTAACTCAACATTCAGACACATTTGTCAATTGTAACTCAGCATTTTGACACATTTGTCAATTGTAACTCAGCATTCAGACACATTTGTCAAGTTTAAACAGCATTTAGACACATTTGTCAAATTTGTCAAATTGGCAACATTTGCCAAGCGTAATCAAATACTTCTACACATTTATCTATTGTAATCTGTCACATGCAGCTATCAATAACGCAATAGATATGTGGTATATATGATATATATATTTGTAAATTGAGTATTCACCTTTTTCACACTGATAACCATCATATCCTGTCAGTGTACAGTCACATATGAATGAATCTGCTATGTTTGTGCATTGACCGTTATGTTGGCATGGCTTGTTGGCTGCACATACATCTATGGCTATTGATAAAACAGATGATGAAGATGATATTTTAAGATCAAATGTTATTTACAATGATGCCAACAATACGTGCATACGTGCATAAGTATCATGTACCTGTCCATATTATATATGGTTTGGTCGTAAGATCACAGTCATAATCTATAATATGTTTTATATTTCAAATTGTGTCATGTTGTTCGCTATTCAAAATTTCTCATTAGTATTTTCAGAATCTTAATAAATGATAATAAATGAAAACCCTTCCGATATTGCGAAACTCAGATTTCATTCATTTGTTTGAATTTGCATATCTAGAGCATTAATCGAATTTTAAGAAAGCATACACTCACATTCCTATCATAAAAATGTATATTGCATTGTATGTTGATTTATCTGTTTACTTACGAGTTGAATAAGCTGTTGTCATGGTTGTCTGCATTTTAGTTGATGTCTTGAGTGTTGTATGGTGTATTGTTTTTGACATAGTTGTTGCAGTTACTTCAACCAGTGGTGAAGGTGTAGTTTCTAGTGTTGTGTCTCGCTTAGTCAATTCAGTGATATATGTTGTTATTAGAGGTTCAGTATACAGCACTGCAGATGCTGTTTGTGATGTTTTGTAAGGAACTGTGGAGTTCTCAGTATAATCTTCCAATGCGACTGATACGTTTGTCTCTGTTTCACTTTTGAATTCAGTTATTTCATCGATTTGTGTGGTGAAGTATTACTTTCTGTTTCAACTTCTGAGTATGTCCATTCATTCTCATTTCTGGTGCTGTCTTTTTGTATGTGTATTTCTCTGTTTCAACTTCATGAAAATATTTCAGATGCCATTTTCTGTATATGGTTG